ATTATTTTCGACCCATTTTTGGGTTTACGACTATCAATGTTCAATTTCGCAATCTTGTAATTTTGAATCCAACCCAGAAGACAAGGGAGCTGCTGGATTAAGCAAACTAGCCTTTGGAAGACTTTTTAATGGAACTAATTACATTTGCATTGCATGAAAAGAAAAACTACGTAAACTTCTATAGATAGCCCAGTGGCATGAAGCCATTCTTGCCGACAGGCAACGCAATTTTATATTTTCTATTAACTGCCTTTTTTTGCCCTTTCTTATTTCAGTTTGTTATCACGTTCATTTCTTAATAAACAATCGCTCGTTTAGAGTTTTATTAGTAACATAAACGAAAGATCTTGTATTTTTTATTGCATTTGTTTATTCAAAAAATAATTTAAATATCGTCTAAATTTGAAACGGATCTTATGTTTATTAAACTGGGGTAGTAGAGCTAAAAATGAATGTTCATATAAATTGGCTGCACCAGCTTAATCCCATCAAATGTATTGCTTCATACGCATATAGTATGGAATGTATTTGTATTATTCTTTTTAGATGAATGTCATAATCTTTACCCTGTCAAAAATTTGTTTCAATAGTAGTTTCATTTCGCGTCTGTTATTTTTTTTATTTTATTTTTTCTCTCCTAATGCAAAACCTTTTTATGATTTTTTTTCTTACAATTAGTGATTAAAACTGGCTGTATACGTATAGGAAAAAAAATTTGGTTAATAAGTTTATACATGTTATTCCCTTCTGTATGTTAAAATCTGATTGCCCCTGTCGATTTTCATTTATTCGTGTGAAACCGATAGATGGCGCCGAACACTCTCTAGGTCCCAAATAAATACCATACACTAGAAAAAGATTTCTCCATCAAAGAAATAAGAAAACAAAAGAAATAAAGGGAAGAACAGAAGAAACTAAGAGAAATTTTTCTTTTTCCAATAGGAAGAATTTCTCAAGAGGGGAATGGAAACTGCCAAAAAAATAATAGTGTCACAAAGTCATTTTCCAGTAAATCGCCTGAGAGGCATTAAATTGTCCACGTTGCCTGCTAGGATGATGGTGGTAGCGGCAACCCAACCCCCGGTACAGGACCATGGCTTTTATACATTTTTTTTTCCTTCCTGTTTCTATTTTGTGTTCCGATCACTCCCCTGCCTTTTCTCTTCGTTTTCTTTTGTCTTTATCTTCAGACTCAAAGAAAAAGGTGCGAGTAGCAAATAAGAAATCGTACTATTTCAATAAAGACCCCCCTCCCTCCCCTTCTCGTTCAAATATACCCCTAAGAAAAAGGTCCGAGATTGGGTAGTGCCGTATTATTTCGTCCTGGTCCCTAAAGTTTAAATTGGAGACAGGTCATGTGAGTAGGAAAGATGTGTTACTGTGTTGTATTTTTTTTTTCTTCCCTCTCCACTTTTGTGCGAAATTTCCATCCTGCTCTTTCGTTTTTTTTTTCCTTCTGTAGAATATATTCTTTAAGTCCACCTGATACTTTCTCTGAAATGAGGTAGAATCTTCGTCGCTGTTACCAATCTTTCCACTTTTGATTGTTTATTTATTTGTTTTCAACTCCGTTCGATGCACGGATGGATGTACGAATATTCACTTCACACACACACACACACATATATATATGAATTTATCAAGNTATACAGGGGTCTGTTTAGAAGAAATTTGGGTCCGTTAACGGACCCTTCACAAAAAAATTTATCTTTTAATCGAACCCTTCACAAATTTGTTTGTCTTCATTATTGTTTTGTTAATCGAAATCGAATAAACCCTTCCCAGGAAGGGGGGAGGAAGAAAGACAGATGTAAACGAACTAAATTTTGTCTTCGGCAGACACTTCTTCCTTTATTCGTTTGAAATGAATATTCTGCGTTCAGCAGTACAGGTTAAATACCAAATATTTGTATGTAGCATCGCTAATTTAGTAGCTGCAATTACTATTTATTTTTTAAAATTTAATTTTTTTAATTGTGATTTTACAGTGTTGAGCATAATCTTGTATGTCTTTACAATTTAAAAACTCCTTGAAAGAGTTTTTTTGCAATAACGGACCGTATTTGCACAAATTCACAAAAGCGGACCCTGTTTGAAGGAATGTGATTTAACGTTTATTTTATATTCACAAATTACGAGTAATTTTTTCACAATTTTACAAAAACGTACCTTTCACAAAATGTCTGGACAGACCCCTGATCTATATATATTGAGTCACGGGGCCGTCAATAGAATTAGATTGTCGATTCTTTTACTTCACAAATCAAAATAAATTACCACTGGTCATATAAATTACCGTTGTGTGCTATAATTGTTACCAAATGATCGATGATTTATTATCACAAAGGTAATAAATTTTTTTACACTAACCCACTGAGCGTGCTTGCCAATACTATCTCCACCTAAAGGCCAGTTGATTGAAACTTCTGTAAATGATTGCCTTATTTTCTCTTGAAAGCCGAATAACTTAATTTTCAGATAACTGCTGGTTTTTTAAGCATCAAATCAGGATCATCCATCTTTTCATATGAGAGAAACTCGTGTATTTCAGGAATTACTTAATTTGTGCTTGGAATTGGGGTCTAAAAAAGATAAATGTACCAAAATTGAGCATGTCTAGAAATTGAGCAAATATGTGGTTCCGTGTTTCTGGCACCTGAAATTAGGAAATTTAGCGTGTTCGTACGTTTACATCCCACTCGTTCAAGTAGGGTGTGTTCAGCTTAGTGCAGTTACCGCAGCGCGATCTCGGTTCTCTACAGAGCTTTTACAGAACATACATATAAGTAGTTTGCCTAAAATAAGAACTCCTCCAGACATTCATCTGGACCTGTGGCGGTGACTATGGTAATGAGGTATGATTATTTCAAGTAGGGGTGCGGCGTCACTGTTTTAGAGTGGTTTCGGGTCTGGTCGGTGAGAGAAAGGGAATCTCTTCGGTTTATTGTGTTTGTCCTAAAGAGAAGTTACCCTCCTTTCTCGCCATTCTTGTTTCCATAGAGTCAGACGGCCTCAGACTTTGTGGTGGGAGGAGTTCTTTGCTTAGACAAGCAGTATGTGAACTTACAGGAATCTAAGTGATAGTGTAAAATTTCTCTGTTGTTTATATTTCTGCCAGCCTTTATCGGAAAACTCTGTTCCTTAAAAGTGTAATAGAATATCTGCCATATTCACGATTGCGATGTTTGAGCGTATCATGTTTTACAGCATATAGATTTACCGCTTTCACATAACTTTGCTCTCGTTCACGTACATATATATCTGAAGTGATCGAACAGCGCTGTTTGAAAAATCTGTGCCACGAGCATGCGCAGTTGGTTCAGAACCATACGTACGTGAACGTGCAGGATGGTAAGTGAAAATGCTAATTTTCTCTTTCTTATTTTATACTTGAGCAAGATAAATGATGTTTGCATTTTTATTGCACGTTTCATGACTGTCTTCAACTCATCTACGAGTTCTTTTATAAATCTGCTGCTCTGTATCAATGTCTCATTTTTTTAACTTAACCTCACCTACTCCCACTCATATACGTTTCTCGTTCGTTTAGAATGTGCACACTTCATTAAAATTTACGTTTAATACCCCTTCGAAAACTGATACCATCGATTAGTAATATAATTGTATCTTAAACGAATACTTTGAAAGGTTGCCTATTCACGCTATGGCCTGGTGCTCGCGTGGTTTTGGGCACTTTCCACAACCATCAACGATAGACCCCCCTTAATTGAATGAGAAGTTCTCTGAACATTATTAGGGGGTGAGTAGGTGGGGGGAGTGCGAGAAAAAGATCCCACATAAATATTAATTCCTGTTCTTTCACTCACTTTCCGTGCATTTTTGCAGTAAGCTTCTCTTGCACGCGATTTCCTCTTTTCAGCTGTTCGATCGCTTGTCCACCCCATACTATGGGTTTTTCGTGGGTTTAGTGCTTATGTTGTCTGTTTCTAAACTGCAGCATTGTTAACGCCGTGTTTTATTTTAGTTTCGGGTTGTTTTTAATTCAGATCGAGTTTCTTGTCAATTACTTTATCACTTTATGTTTCTGAGTTATTGATTAGACCCGATATTATAAATATGCTTTTATTATTGTATGTAGCTGTGGTTTTTCTTCCTGTTGATACTTCTGATAGAATTAAAAAGTTGATTTTAGATTCATTTTTTTAAGGATTATTATGTGCAATCAGTTCAATATTTCTTAAAATTGCTTTATTGCTCACATTGTTATTTGCTCTCTGCAGTAACATTTGGTGAAGATATTGCGTTGCATTTTGCACTTGCTGTTATTTTTATTGCTATTTAAACAAAATAGCTCATAATTCTGTCTTTATTTTCGTGTGACTAAATGTAACATTCTCGGTAAATTTTATGATAGTATTTTTTTCGCATGGATCAATCTCTACTTTTTACGATACCATTCTCAGTTGAATGGTTGGAAAAGTTTGCGTGTTTAAATTGAAGAAATAATTTAATGAACTCGAAACTACCGCAGTTAGTATTACGTAAATAAAGCTGTTTTTAGTGCAATAAAAGTATATAATTTATCCTGCTACAGTTTCTTTTAAATCACTTTGCACAATCTACTATTCTCAGTTCTAAATACCAAGACATCCCTTTTAAAGATTGCAATTCTAAACATATAAATCGTTTATGCAAACTGAGTTTAAAAAAACACGAAATTTAAAGTACTCCATTTAGTTGATCTTAAAATATTGAGTGAAAAAGCGTTTTTTAATACTTCTCATCGGCATTTAACAATTAAATCTAACCATTAGTTAAAACCTTTTAACAATTTCAATTTGGTCTAAAATTATCGATAAGAATATACCTCACGATGATAACTGATGATAATATATCAATTACAATATTATTTAAGAGGCTTTGAATTAACTAATAACATAAAATTATAAACAAGAATTTGATTAATGTTCATATTTTTAAATTTAAATAAAGTGTATTTCATCTTTCATATGCATATTTATTCTTTATTTCTTTTCTAGTTCTAAGTCTACGGAATACACAAGAAGAAGAACCACCTGACCCTCAGCTAATGCGACTGGACAATATGCTTTTAGCTGAGGGTGTTGCTGGTCCAGAAAAAGGCGGTGGAGCTGGAGCTGCCGCTAATGCTTCAGCCGCAGCCTCAAGCGGTCCTCAGTCAGAAAACGCAATAGAGCACTCCGACTACCGCGCCAAATTAGCACAAATTCGCCAAATATATCACCAAGAGCTAGAGAAATATGAACAGGTTAGTTATTTTAAACTTTATTTCTTGACTTGACTGTCAACTATTTCGATTTAATTACATCGGCAATATCAGATACTAAGGAAATATGGATTTCTAAAAACATAGCAATGTTTTGAGGAATATTCCAATGTATGTCATCTTACAGACATAAATAGGACCATTTTCTAACGAGAAACTTGGGTTAGTTTGCAAACTATATACAAAATTCTAAAGACCTCAAACTTGATTGCTTACAAAATCCCAAGAATTTTTTTTTTCATTTAACATAATAAGCAATGTCTTATTTTTCTATTAATTCGCAAGTTTGTTTTGTTGTACTATTTCGCTGTTTATTTGGAAAAAATTAAGTAAATTTAGTTTGTTTTTATGATTACAAATTCATTTAAATAAAGCTGAATGCAATCGACATATTCTGTTGGAAAATAGTTAAAATCAATAGTTTAATAACTAATTAATATTCTTATTCGTAGTTTTTTTTGCCTAAATTTTTTTATAGTGATTTGTAGATTCTTGGGGAATGGTTCTTCGCTGATTTCTTTCCTAAAATTTGGCGTGTTTTCCGCATTTCATTTCTTTTACTACAACATATCCATCAAGTTCAAGAAAAAGTTAACATTTTGGATTTTTTAAAGGTGAGCGACTTAATTCCTGATGCTGCCTCATTACATCACCGTCCCGCCAAGATGGTTCTCTCTCTAAACGATTCACTGAATAATTTCATTAGTCTACTGACTCGTAAGTTCTGGCAATTAAGAAAGATTCTCGCCAATCCATCTCACCCTTTTTTCGCCATCCTTTCATGCCAAAACCTTTTCTCCTAGTCTAGAAAGTCCCATCTCTTATGGATGCTGCTAACCTTTCTTCTTGTAAACAGGATGGAAACTCTGCTACTATTTCTATTTACCACGAAAGGAAATTAAGGCTGTATGCCTATGTATATACCTTTTGCTCACAAAAGGCACTTCTGGGGGATGGCCGAGGGGTTAGTGGAAAGGCAGCACCGCAATAAGGCAAGGCACCCAGTAATAAAGCTTGATGGATTGCAAACAGTAATTGCTTGGGTCTTAACTCTCTCGTAGCAAGTGGTCCAGGCAATTTGGTTAGCCCCCTTCGCTATTTAGCATACAAATTGCGCCCGGTGACGACTAATTACGAAAACTTTTGGAGGTTTGGCTTTCTGGATGGTTGGGAAAAGGCGGGAATGGGATGGACTATGCCTCGGATTCTGGTAATCGGTCTGACGTTCATATTTTCTGCTCGGATTTATAGCTGAAGGATGGGGATAATTCTTGAACCCAGGGTGATTCTGGGTATATAAACTCCCACTTTCGTATAATCCGTCAAGTGGTCACTCGGTGTTTGTTATTAACCCCTGGCCTGCATATTTTATGAGCTTTCTAGGTCCACATTCCAGTCTCTTGAATATGAAGTGATTAGGGTTTTTGACTGACAGGTACAAGTGAGACCAGCCATTGAATTTATTTAGACTTGATAGGAAGGTTTTAATCCTTAATATTTCTTTTCTCGTTTGCTTTGCCTTAATATAATTGCAAATGTATTTTCTATATTGTTTAACTTACGTGCCTCTTCACAATTTTTAAAAAAGCTAAAACTTAAAAATTATGGATTTTGAAGTTTTTAGCTTGTTGCACCATTTCGTTGTCCTTTTATATGTACGTTGTTCTTACACTCTTTTTAGTCTAACTTATGCTATTGTCTGTCTTTTTTAATTTTTCTTCGTTGATTTATTCCTTAATATTTTTTACTGTGCCTTTTTTTTCTACACAAATTTAAAACTTGGCAATATAATAATAAGCCACATTTTCAACTAGTACAGGAGAGCGTTTTTGAAGACACACTATTTCGGTGTAGGCAATTATTTCTGTGTATTGTACTGTTATCCAGTGAAAGTTCCAGTAACTTCTACCGTACTGATACTGAAAAGAAAGAGACAGTTTGTTATAAAAATGTCATCTTTGAAAAAAGTGAGGTTTATTACTACTTCACCCCAAGCACTTCTATTGTAAAATTTCTTTGAATTGAATACCTATATTCTGATTATAAGAATAACTAAAGTGGCTACAGTAGTAAATTTATTTCTGAAAACAGAAAAAATAGTGCAGGTATTTGAAGAGCAATCAGTTTAACATTTTTATCTTTTTCATCAAATAATTACTTGTTAATTTCTCCTCAAAGCAAATAACGAAATTCTGTAAATTAGATCTTTAAAAAATGCAAACACTTCATCATACTTGATAACATCTCAGCAGGCTCAGTTTTCACAAATGTGTCCAAGTGCAATAACCCTTCTTTTTAAAAAAAAATTTCGATGGAGTGAACATAGGCAACAACAAAAAAAAAGGCAACTTCCAAGATTCTGTTTTGACATCGGGAGACGGATCACATGTTCCATGTTAGACAGTTCGAGATTTGCCTTGAATCGAGGGTTTTTGTCAGATCCGCCAACTTGACAAGGAATGGTTCGTCTCCTCCATTCTCGCCAAGGGGTTTCTATTTGGTGAGTGAGTGGGCTCATTCCAACATCTATCTGGCGCGTCCAACTGCGAGACGACTCAGTGTAGAAAATAGATTGGAACTTTCTGTCTTTGGAAGGATAATCCGTCATTTCTATTTACTTGAAGCAGTTGTGCTTGTTTTCATTCAACTGCTCGTTTTGTTGCATAATGTGTGAGGAAAATTGGCTTTGTAATAAAATTTGAGTATGAAAGTTGAGATTTCAGTTAAAGTTGATCATATGCTTATTGAAATTTATTTTTGGCTGAGGAAAATTGGGTTTTTCATTTCAGAAGGAAGTCTATGATACCATTGTTTATATTTTGTTTAGTTTAAAAGTAATTTTAAACACATCTGTCCGAATGCTTCTGTATTCCCAAAGATCACGCAATCTCAATAAATAACAAAGACGCCATTAGAAAATGAAAAATAATGTGCTCCTCGCATATAAAAAAATAGGCAACTTTCTTCAGACTGGAATAAGAAAATCTGTACATTTCAATTCTACTTCCCTGTCTTAAAACTAAAATCTGGTGTTTTCTAGATTAATTTATTTTTAGAATCTTTGTATATTATTAGAATCTGTGTCAAAAATGAAATATACATTTTGGGCGTAATGTAATATTTCAACCAGGAAGAAAGAAAAAAAAAGTGTTTAAATTCTGATCTCTGTTTGAGAATTAATGATTTTAAAAAATCCATTTTGAAATGCTGGATGAAGCTTGAATATGTTTATAATAAAAGCCACCCACCTCTTCGTTAATTCTTTGTCGTTTTTTCAACCTTTCATGTTATTAATCCCGTCATTTCAATTGTGACAATGTGTTTATTTTTTACTTAATTATCGTTTTCATTTTCGTTGACGATTTTTAAAATATACATTAAGAGTGGTGATTACTGAACACCGTGCATATGTAACTACTAATAATTGTATAAGTTTACTATTGTAATACACCGTATTTTTTAAGAAAAAAAGCATTTCGCCTCTAGTTTACAATAATCCTGAAGCTAGAACTATATAAAGCACTTAGCATTTTTGATATCGTTATTAATTTATTTCACGCATTTATATCACATTTTGTTGTTGCTATCTAAAACTTTTCTTTAATGCTCCACGATGTAAGAATTAAATATGAAGGGGAAAAAATCAGCGTTAAACATTAATCAAAGCTTGTGTTTTATATGTGCGGAATATAATAAATATTTGTTCTTAAAAAAGTTAGCGAATATTCTCATTCTCGATATTCTATTAGTTTTATTTTATTCTGGTTTTAGTGGTCATTTTTTTTCATAACTGTTATCTTTTTCCACAAAAACAAATGAACCTTTTCAAAGTCGTTCTATTCCTTTCTCTAAACACTGCCAAATAGTAAATTTTGCCTTCTCTCATAGCAACCCCCCTTGAAATTTTCCCAAGCTTTTCAATAAAGAAAGATATAACTAAAAAAACAAATGAATAGAGAACAGGAATGAAGCATTATATATAAAAAAAAGCGAATGCAGAGAACGCCAATCAGGACCTAGTAATTATGAAAAGGATGGTCCCTCTCCTGTGAAGAAAATGCTGAGATAATCGAATTCCAGACGCGGTAATTAGAACAGAGCAGAGTAGGGGCTCTTCGGCTTTTACCTCCCTACTCAATTAGAAATCTCCCCGACTTTAATCTATCTCCGTCCTCCGATATATCTATAAAAGTATAGGTATATGTATAGATATATACTAGATGTATAGGCTCTTCTTACTTCCACTATTTCGTCAGGTTTCAACCTCTAAGCTTGCCTTTTAATTCCTTCTACCAAAGGAGTAAAGCTATTTTTAATTTTGGTTTGCACTTTCCCCGTTCTGGAAAGCAACCCTTGTCTCATTGTGTGTCAATTGTTATCTCAGAAAATGTGGAATTCTTGGAAGAATTTTCTACTGGCTTTAATTTCTTTTTTTTATATCATAGTATTAAGCGTTTTTTTATTGATTTTTTTTTCTCATTTATTTTTATCGTAATTGTATTACACCATATTTTCCTTCTTTAATTTTTTTTTTCTTTGCATATTTGAAGTTATTTTGTGCATAAATGTATTTACTGTAATTCACTCGTTCGTTGCTGGAAATTTTAAGGCCATAAGATAAGTTTAGCAAAGCGTTTAGTTTAAATAATGCCGTTCAAATTTGGAGCCATATAATATGGTGTTAAGTTTAACCTTCTTATCGTACTTCTTAAACTTGATTTCGCGATATGCAAAATATGCGATAAACGATATGTATGAAATACGATACCATAAAATTGCTTGAAATTTTGAGGAGTTTAGATCCATAATGCTGTTCAAATTTGGAGCAACCGTGATTTGCTGTTAGGTTGATTTGCTTATTATCGTACTTCCTAAACTTGATTGCACGATACGATAACTCAACAAAAATGGAATACTTGATTCAATTTAACTCTTTATTTAGGTTGCGGCTAATTTGTATCGTATTATGGTTCAATGTATCA